CAAGAAAGCCTGCAAATAATCAGCGGATGACAACATTTCTATTTATGCAGAAAAAACAAACAGAATTTGGAAACCTGGATGAACAAGGCATCGGTTGGTCCCTTTCAACCTCAAAAGCAAGCTGTAATATATAGGCTGGGCAGTGTCGACTGCATAACGTTGTGTCGCCAAAACATTGTAGGCTTCAAAGGCTGTGAAGGTGCCCAATTAATAGCCATGCCATGTGGTGATTAATTTGTATATTGCAAACATCACATTATTAAAGTGTAGAGAGCCCCCCTCTATCATCTTGGTGACGATACAAGAATGCCTCGCAGCTTGTAGAAAGCTGACATAATGCTGAAAGAGGCAAGTATAATTACATCATATCAAAGTTCTCAATAACATTTTACCAATTCACTGCTTTTCAATTATAACATCTGGTTTTTTTTAATTATATGTAAATATATCAAAAAAAATGAAGGGAAAAAATATATTTTGAATAGTTGAAAATCAGTCATATATCATGTCTCCTGTCGGAAACACATCTTCATAATTTATCAGCATATGCATTTTAAATACAGTACCAATGACAAATGCTTATTCTAATACTTACAAAACGTTAGCATTCAAACCATAACCATTATCCTTTATGTACCATTAACACATATAGCCCGGCTCTGCATGTCTCTTTCCGTCATTGACACACACATATAGCCCGGGCCTTGGTGGGTTTTCTTTGTCTTTCTCCGTTATTCACACACATATAGCCCGGGCCTTGATTGGATTTCAATCTCTGGCTCATTTAGCCCTGGCCTTGATGAGCCTTCTCCGCCTCTCCCTGACAATCACTTTGAACACTATTCCTTCTTCGTCCGTTAATTTTTTCTCCATTTTCTGATTTTCAATCTCTGTCCCATTTAGCTCGGGCCTTGATGGGACTTCTCCGTCTCTCCTTGACAATCATCCTTAATACTTTTCCTGTCTCGTCCGTTTCCCCCCATGTTTCTGGTCATTATTTTCCTTTAATTAATTAGCTGTTTTTATACATTTTATACACATACATTTTTGTCCACTCATCCTTGATATAACTATATTTTTAATACATAATTTTATTTACAAAAAGTGAATGGGATAGGACAGCAGGCATAGCGTATTTTAGCCCTCCCTCTAATATAACTGTACTTTGATTTTAGTGTGCTCTTCATTAAATTTTGCCACCCTTTCTTCATTTTGGAATGAATTTCATTTCTTATTGTATTAAAGGTTTACTCCCCATGCCTCACATTCATTCATAAAAACTGAGATGACAAAGTTTTTATGCTAATCTTCATTTTTTTTTTAAATTCATACTGTAAAATATAAGTTACAAGACTGATAATAGCAAATTTAAAAAAATACTGATAAAAATAAAATCAAATCAAAAATAAAAAGCTTAAAACAAGAACTTTCTTTTCAAGTAAATAATATTTATATTGAAGTAAAATGCCTTAAAACCTTGTTTAAAGGGTGTCCAGGCTGGAATTAATAGAAAACGAATGCTGAGAAGATTTTTTACCAAACTATTACGACGCAGGTTAATTGTATACTGGAGTAAGATAATAGAATAAAGAAGCTATAGAACCTTAATGATTAAGAGAGAACACGCTTGAAGATGCATTAAAAAGATTTATAATGTGCTTACATGTCAAGGAGAGGGTCCAAAAAACCGGATGAATCTCATTTAAGCATCAAAAGAATTGAACTGTATCCTATCCAGCAAATTTATATTACAACCTAAACAAAGCTTGACGCAACACTCAGAGAAATTCTCACTTCTAAGGCCGGACCATTTGATTGCTTATAAACGATCCGACGAGAACATGGAATTGTCACACAAACCCCCCTAAGTGAGCACTAATTACTACGATCTTTGTTTTGACTCTTAAGAATTTATTTTTCCAATCTTTGTAGTCCTAAGCGTCTTCTGACTACGTTGGTGGCTTTTTTGCATTCGTTGTACGTTGTTTTTTTTTTTTAAATTTCTTTTTATATGTAAGAATCCTTGAAAATGATTGGAAATGAAAATTACAAACGAAATAAGTTCTATCAATAGCACCTCTTGTGTTCAAATGTTTCAATATTTTTGTCATTGAAAAAGTAATTAATCACAAAGTTTAAGAACATTTTTATTATCCTTCATTAGAGTGGTATCAATTACATTTGGTTTTTATTAAAAAGCTTTTAAGCAATTTTAAAGATTTGATTTCTGTTAATTTTTCATAATATTCCCCACATAAAAAAGCTAGATGATCTTGTTTTAAATGATATCTATGATTAACTCGGAGAAAAGATGTCTTCAATTAAAGATATACATGTATTTAACACTTAAAATTTTGTAGATTCTTCTTCAGAGATTAAAGATTCAAAAGCATCATTCGTGTCCTGAAAAAAAAAATTGAACGCGATATCTGTATTAATTAGTATAAGCGATATCTGTATTAATTAGTATAAGCGATAGCTGTATTAATTAGTATAAGCGATATCTGTATTAATTAGTATAATATGAGTAGTAGAATATTAGAGGTAGAAGTGTTTGCTTTTAATTCTAAAGAAACAACAGAGCAATTTAGTACTCGATAATACAAATGAGCAGCGCAGTTTCATCATAGGGGACGTATGTTGCCGCTAGCTATAACCAATATTCTATTTAGAAAGGGTGATATTTTAGCAAGCATCCCTATCATTCATTACAGTGTATTCATAAAAATAATTATTGATTGCTACAAAATTGACAGTTGAATGCTGCATGCAGGAAAAGAAAAAAACGAGAGAGGAAAAAGAAGTTTTCAGGCAAAGCTGATGTTTTTGTGCAAAAGTAGTTTTCATATCACCTGCCTTTCTAACTATTACGTTACAAAGTGTTTAATGCCGGTCGACGGAAAAGACGTTAAAGCGAAGTCTTAAAAATCTCTGTGTAATATTTACTCTCACCGTTAAGATATTGCCAGGTTCGTTATAACAAGCATCGGGGCCCGTCCCACGTGCATCTAGAAGTAACTAGCCAATCAGAGACCTCAGAAGGAGAAGGCAAAGTTAATGATCTGTTTTTAAGGTATCTTAAAGTTTACGAAGATAATCATTGGGATGACTTTGTATTGAATGTGCATTATCGGGGGGAATTATCTATCAGCCACATCGTCTCTTAATCTATCACACAGGTAAGAAAACTCTCTCTGCACGCAAACTGAAATTTTGCACTTTTAATATTAATTCATTGCATTCCCCACTTTAATTTTTTTTTCGGCATTTAGTGAAAATCTTTTTTCTCGTAGATATACGTATACTGGATTTCGGGGGTGGGGGATAATTTATAAGGATATGTGGATTTATCAAAAAGAAAATAATTTTTAAATAGCTGGCCTTATTTGTATATGTACGATAAATAAACAGATTTGCGTTTTTTTATATTTGAAGACTCTTAAAAAATATCAAATTCCACGATATATGTAGCATTGTACGAAAAAAATCAAGTACAATTTTATTTCTGGAAAAATTAGGGATTTCAAATGTTCTAAATGAGGTTGGAATAAAGCTAATAGAAACGTTGTATTTCCTTTCATTTCATAACGAAAAAAAGTAATTAAACACGAAAGCCTTATATGGTTTTAAAAGTCACGTTACAAAGGAATTTTTTTTAAACTCACTTCTGAAATGCAATTGCGAAAAAAGATTGTTAACTAGCATTTTAAATAACTTTTCCTCAATTTTGTTGTGCTTTTATTACAACAAAATTGTTCAATTAAGAATTTTTCTTTCTTTCAGTCATTTATTGTGAACTGATAATTAACTCAATATCGACAAGTTTAGCTACAATATTTGTTTGCACTGTTCGTCAAGTTATATCAACTGTAATCATAGTGTTGACCATTCAATAAATTAATCGGAAGGCGCAGATGCTCTCTTAAACTCCTTGAAAATCACTATATTTTCAGGTATACTGCAACAGTTTTCAACAAGCCATGTAGATTGTCCATCAGGAAATTAATTCTTTGTATACAAAATATCCCAGTTATCATTAATATAAATGTTTTCCTTTTCATTTTAGCATTTACTGAACTTAAGGAAAATATATATTTAATCTTGAAAGAAAAATATCATTCTTTTTCTGTTAATCAGTTATCAGCATTTCTGAAAATAAATAAATAAATAGACAAATAAATAAATAAAAATGAATAAATTTAGGAAATACAATAATCATGGACCATTTATTATCAATAAGAATATGTAAAAATATAGACTAAATTCTATTGAAATCATACATGTACACTTAGACGTTTAAAACAAATTTAAAAAATAAACAATTTAATGAAAAATAAGTAAACATTCATTAGCACGCTTACCTGATTAATATGTGCTAAAAATAACGTGCACAAACACAATCTTACTGTAATACAATTATTCATATTAGCTATATCATGTTTCACACACACTTTAATTAATTACTATTTCCATAATAAGACGTTATAATAAAAGTTTTTTGTAATTCTTTAAATCATCAAAGTTAACAATTAGTCACTTTGTAAACAGTACATCTTTTGAATGATGAAAGCTACATTCCTAAAATACATGAGACGTCGTTAGAATAGCTCTGGAGAGCACGGATGGTGTGATCTACTAGGTAACAAAGATACCCAAAGATAATACCTTTCTTTGTCCGACTTATCCAGTCTGTTCTCTCCTGGTCGACCGTCTTAGAAGACTGAAACTTTTTCATTGCTCTTAATTCTGTTTTTATTCTGGTTCGTATGCAACAGTTTTGAGAGTGGAAGTGTTATTCCAATTTCTCGCCATTTCCTGTCTTTGAGAACTCTTATTCTAGTCTTCTGGAGAGTTTTTCGTTTTATTTCGTTCTGTTGAATTCACTAGACTGAATTCCGATTTTGTGTGTGATTTGGAAATTGGAAAATATTATTTCAGTGTATTTATTACAAGATAAATCTGAAATTCAAATCATTTTAATTCATAACTGGTTTACAGAGCGTTCAAATGTGACTTAAAGTTGATTCGGGCGATGAGTGAAACAAATGCACCATCCGCACCACAAACTGATGTTCAAAACCCTCCGCAGACAGACCAAATAGTCCCAACCATCACCACTGCCGTATGTATGATTATGTTTTTTAAATTTTTATTTTTATTTTTTTTATATTAATTCCAATGAAATCCGTTAGAGATTACCGGATATTACGATTATTAAATAATATTTTAAATATATATTTAATATTTTTTCTTCAAATTAGATAAGCATAATGTTTATAACGTTAAAGTGTTTTGAATCTAGAATAATGTTTAAAAACCTTAGTGAATGTAATTTAAAACTTAAGTATAAGTAGTAATAATATAAATTCTCACTATTGACTGATATACTCATTTTACTGAGGAAATAAAAATGATTGAATCAAGTTACAAGACTTGTGTAAAGATGAGCAAAGAAGATTTTAACGTATTTTGAAATAAAAAGATTTTAATTTAAGTCTATAAAATAAAGGAGATAAAAAAAAAAATTATTTGCACATTGTCTATCAAAAATTCAAATTCTGATTGTCTGTTTTTGTTTGTTTGGTTGTTTTTTTTTTCCTTTCATGTCTTTCAAATTTATGTCGATTAGTATTTTCAAATTGAAAATTATTTGTCATTTTAACTTGTTTGCTCATATTTTATAATATTCCTGACTGTAATGTGAATTTTGGATTAGATATTACATCCAGTACACTTTCTGGAGCTAAGGTCACTATCACTATTTGTTTTAAGGATTTTTCATTTTGTTTCCATGTATATTTTTATCAGGTATTTACTTTGAAAAGAAATAAAAGAATAAGAAATGAATCATTCTGTCCATTATAATGTTAATCTTTCTGTGTAACTGCTTGTTTCTACGATAAAACAGAATAATAATGCTATAGTACACCTGGAATCATACAAACATACTGACGGCTGTAACATCAGGTTTTCTTGATTTGATCGATTCCATCACGTGCATTTTATGTCCAGAAATTTGAAATCTCGTCAGGGACAGATAATTAGTAGTTGTAACAACTCAATTCAATAGTTTCCATTATCTCAGTCTCATTATTGGATATTTTCACATTTGCGGGTCACATGCGCTCAAGTCTCGCGCAACTGGAAGTCGCACGTGCCTTCAGTCCTCATCTTTCAAGAGGTTTTTGAGAGTGATTTGACGCATGTAAAATACGTTTTCATGTTCAGCTGAACAATGACTAACAGTGAGACTAGCGGACAGAACGCATGTGTTTCTGCACATTTAAAGACTGTATAGTTGAAGGGAGAAGCATACGGGTGTTTTCTCTGTCTTTGAAGAATTTTCACTTTGATGCCTTTGTCCGCTGTCCTGATAAGATTAAGTAATCAACATGCTTGGTCAATAAACTTAAGTTAGATGCTCGTCCTTATTTAGAATAAATAATAATGGATTTAAAATAGACAGTTTACAAAGAGGAGGCATCTACAACCATTACAATTCATATCCGATTTTTACCCTCAATCAGTTTTAAATTAATTCAGAAATAGTCAATTCTGTTTTCAGAAAAGGGAAGAGACCGTCTCTAAGGATAAAAATTCAGAGATTAAGAAACTGAAAAGAAAGGGGGAAAACGAACTAGTTCAAGTTTCAGAAGGTAGGTGAAAATGTTTCATGCCCCTTCTCCATGCAGAACTGTTATATTTTGGATATAACAAGTCAGTGCTGTTAATTAAGTTTAATAAATAATCTATATATGGTTAACAATCTTAAATGATTACGATGATGGTAATTTATGTTTCCTTTAAACACATAATATACCTATATATATATATAATCTGTTATAAACAGTTCGTGAATAATTTTACTTTTTTTCACAATAGCAGTTAAAATAAACAAAAGATTAAGTGAAAAACTAATTTATAAAACTAAAGATTTTCATATAGTTCTCAATTAATTTCACGTGATCAAGAACACATCCGGAAGTAGCCTTTTTTAAGCCTAGTAGGGGTAGCGTTGACAGCATTGCAGACTGTGTTGCTATGACAGATATCGGTGCTCGGTCTTGTTCTCCATCCCTCAATCTCGACCTAAGCCTCCCGCAGTCTTTGCAAATAGCTTGTGTTAACAGTTTATGAATATTTCATTCAGCCGCGCTCTGTCTCTCGCGCATCTTTCTAACTGTTTGATTTGTCTACTTTGCGAGCAGCTGTTTAAATGGTCCGACTAAATTAGGCGACAATGCTAATTAGTATTAATTTGGTCTTGTGGGGATCTGATATTGCAAATGAAATTTACAACACATTTTCAACATGGGCTCTTAAAAGGCGCTTCCGGGTGTGACCTTAAATAATGTGCATGGCTTTGCACTTTATTATATAATCATGATGCACTTCTTCAGTTACACAGCATATTTTATATGTAAATACAAATGTCACTATTTCTCTATAATAATGTATGTTAAAGAAACAAACTGTATTATAGCAGTGATACTTCAAAGTATTTGTTTTCATAACATTAACGTGACAGAAACCAGAAGCAAAATCAACCGACATTCTTTTGAAACATTTTTACAGAGCTATTTCAAGACCTTAGCCAGATGCAAGAAGCTTGGTTAGCTGAAGGTATTTCTTATTTTACTTCTGCATATTTTTACATTTTGACACATTGTGTGTTATTATTTATGTGAAAAATAATCTGGCATTTCTGCAACTGACGACATAAAAATATTACAATTAATTAAAAAAATCGTACATATGATATAAATATTATAGGTTTAATACAAAAAAAATCAAAATGAAACATGAAAATAAAATAACAGCTGTAGCCCAAAGTAAAGATTGTAACAGGCAATATAACTATGCAAATGATATTTTAAAAATAGTTTTTTGAAGGAAAAAATGAATATGCAATTGTAATAGGGTGAAATATTTTTTTAAATGAAATATGGACTGAAAATGACCATTATTATCTCAAAACGAGTTTCAATATCTTCGTGAAAATACAGTATAAAAACATCTGATACTCTTTCAACAGAGTTCATTAATTGCTGGAGACATTAATGCCTCTAATACGAACCTTAATCAATATTCAGAAGCCGTTGACACTACTGTTATCTTTTATAGTCCTTTAAAAGGCCAGTCTTGTGATTGCAGGGCAAGTTTGTAGGCTTCGGTTGTCTTTGAAGCAGTGTGGGATCTATACAAAGAGCTCTGTTCGTTTTGAAAAAAAATAACTGCATTTTTAAACAGTACAAACTTATTTCCCATATATAAGTGCATTTTAAATAAATATATTCCAAAAGCCTATATTAGGAACTTTAGGGTGGAGTTTTCTGAATCTCATGCAAACAAAGTCTGCTCCTTTCCATCGTTTCTTTACAGGTCCATGATGGTAACACAATAACTCTAATTTTACAATTCTAAAAATTCAAAAAATTTATTTCAGAAGGATATTTAGTAAAGATGCGTCTCAAAGCCTTTGATTTCATTTGTTTTATGTTTTGGTATATTACGATGAAATTTTGTATGCTTGTTAAACATGTGTATATATTGTTTAAATAAAAATCATGAAAAATTTTGTTGCGTCAGTCCAGGAACTTTTTGATCAGCTCTCGTATCTTTTATGAGAGATATATTTTTGCTGACTGATAATTTCAGCCAAAATAATTTTTTTTAGTTGGCAATATTCAATTACTTTTTTTTCTTTATCATCATATACTTGTAATTTCTTTCAAGCAATTCTCGTGTCACTGTCTCGTGTTACCATTTTTAATAAAATATTTTAATAATTCTTTGAAATGGCCTTTAAAAAGGGGCACTTTTTCATTGGTCGTTTTTTGTGTTGTTTTAGCCAATCACTCGGACGAGGGCGAGCAATACGTGCCCGGATATAATGGTGGCAACAAAGGGGACAGAACTGCAGGTAGGTCAGCTATTACCTACATAACTCGTTTTCCTGACCAATTTCAGTCAATGACAGTGTCTTTATTTTTATTAATGTATAAACATACAACGTAGAGGGAGGTAGAAAAATATAACATATAATATATATAAAACAACAAGCTCATAAAAAGAAGAATACAATGTACATGTTTATGCAATAGTATACAAATTTCATATAGTAAATCAAATAAATTATTTCTATCTATAACTCTTTTGACAATAAACTGATATTTACATAATATTTTCCGTTCTGTACAGTTTAATGTTAAAAAGAGTTGTTTACATTCAATTATATCTAGCCTGTATATGAGATTATAGCTTCTTTTATTTCTTTTTCTGTTCATCAATAAACATAATGAGACTCGTCACCAATTTTAAAAAGATGGCATAATGTACAAACCTTCTGGAAGCACCAATTCATCCCCCAGTTTCAATGGGAGGTTCAAAATCGTTAAGTATAAATCTGCCTAGCAAAATTGCAAATTTTCATAAGATATTTTTCCGGTTTCTTTATAAATTCGATAATTTTTACCCATAGATGAATTATAGATATTTTCCAATTTGAGTATTTTGGTCAACAAGTATCCTTTGAACTTCACTCTAAGTGGAAGATATCCTTTGTCTCATCCATACATAAGACAAGCCACACCAGTATTCAGTTATACTAAATGTGTTTGCATCGTAGACTAATTTACAAGGCACAGATAGACACTATATATATATATATATATATATATATATATATATATATATATATATATATATATATATATATATATATATATGCATTGGATGTTAAATGGTATCGAATATTTTTTGTAAGACATATTTTCGCAACTTGCATAATTGCATAAAAATGCATGTATAAAAACGGTTAGATTTATTAAGTAGTTTTCAAGCCTTTTGTGTGTATGTGTGTTTTCCTTTACCCGTATTTATTTACGGCTAAAGGAAAACTTTATATACCTTTGGCTATTTGTACGGAGAGGATATATATTGGCATTGTCTGTTGCTCAGTCCATTAAAAGATTTTATGAATAAATATTTTTTAAAGTATAAGACTTTTTTTATCAGATGGGTTTTAAATAACTTGCCATGTGAAAGAAAATTAACTTTTATGTAGTTACGTCAGCATGCAGTCAAAGAATTTCAACTAAAAATTGTGAAATGGGGTAAAAAGAAATACCATGTATTAGCCAATCAAGATTAAGAATTTGTCAACTTTTTGGTTGTTTTTACAAATTATCTTAGATTTACACAATGAACTTCACGGACGGGTATATTATACACATTGATAGGGCATACTTGTGGTAGCCGTTTGTATATTTAGTAACTGTCCAGTAATTTATAAATTCAGTAATCCACCCAACGAGCTAACAGTTATCAATCTTGTCCACTTTTTATCATGTTAACTGCTTAATCGTTTAGAAATTACAAGATTACACAGAAATTCTGTTAGGGTGGAGTGTTGTTTACATATCTGTTAAAATTGAGTCTCCCAACCTTTCGCTGGCTGGATAGTGACAAATCATCATCTTCACAGGGTATCACAGTATAATACCACATAGTTTTAAATTAAGTATCTCAAACTTGAATTAAAATGTCCTTCCGTTTTCCCCCCAATTTATCCCACCTTTAAAAATTGTGTTTGCTTCATTTTTATTTTGGGAATGTAATTCTTACAGATTTTAATAATTTTCCAAAAAATAAATAAATAAATAAATAAATAAATAAATAAATAAATAAATAAAGTGCTGCTTCAAATATACAAATATTAGCTTTCATCATTGTTTTTATGAGTCAAACATTTGTTAATTAAGTCCTGAAGAAGAATACGTCATCAAGAATTCGGGACGGCCATTTTAGAGAAATTAATCTTACAAAAGAAAACAAGTCCATGTCTGTTAGTCAATCACAATAATGTCACGATAATCACCTCTGACTTCCACAAATAAGACCCGGGTGGACAGGAGACAAATGGCAGGTAACTAGTGTAAAAACCATCAGCCACTTATAACTATTTTCATAACTTCGATGCCAGCTTTATACCTTAATCTCTGGATATTCCAGAGGTCCCTAGCGTCTATGATATGTTTTGGGTCGTTATAAGGGTATTTATCAGTGGGCATCCTAGGACGGGCAATAGAAGCTGATAAATGGCTGTATCATTGACACCCAGGGCATCAGGTCTCTTGCTAAATCATGGACACAGAATGATAGTCTTTAAATTTGTTTGCTCAGATTAAAATTCTGAGGTTGCTGAGTAATTCTGTAACCTCGCCGTATTGGTTTTGTGCCTGTTGTATAAAGATAAGTGAATATTATATCCATTACAGATGTGATGGAGCCATAAGTGTTTGTTTTATATTCAATAACTCTCATTGATCAATTATATCAATTAAAAAACAAAACAGATTTAGAAGTACCGATTGCTATCAAAAGGTTTTTTTTTTTTTTTTTTAATTTTTTTTTTTTTTTAAAGTTTTGGATTATAATTTACACTTTTCTTATCATTTACTTTTAAAATATCTTTTTATGTTTTGTAAAGTTTGTAAAATGTTTTCAGGCAAGAATATGTGAATTCTTATAACATTTAAGAAACGGTTGCTTCCAAAGTATTTATAATTTTTCTATTAACTATCCCATGACGAAGAAAATTAAAGTTTGTCTGTTGAAGGGTGTATTCACGTTCTATAGAATGAACTACAAACTTTCTCCAGTTCTCACATGTTCACGATACGGTTTGCTAATAATTATTGCTCTTCCATTAAACAACTGTAACACGCGCTGTAGGTATATCACTCAGGGTTAATATACCCTGAAAGTGTCAATAGCCGTACCACCCTAGAGATGAGTAAAGTGGCCTTCGACTCTGTGTTAAATTTGCAGTAAGTTCGGTCTTTTTCTTTTTAAGGATTTTCTCATATTTATCAGCTTTCCAAAAAAAAAAAATTCAAATTAATTTTTTTTTTCAAATGAATTTTGATATTTAATCGAAGTGTTTAAAATATTATTAATAAAAAGCAATGTATAGATAAACAGGTTTTATTTTTCCTTTCTCCTGTTTTTACTCATAAAAATCATACAAATGGAATGTTAAAAATAATATCAACAGAAACACTGGTAAAATCATTAATTCACAGTTCCAAAAAAATTGACAAACCTATAAAGCATTAATTGACATCAAATTCATTCTTAATATCAAGGCGAGTTCCATGACTAATTTCACATAAGCCACATGTCTTTATTAGCCGCTGTTAGGCGGGTTGGTTAGGTCTGTACGTTCTAGAGTGAGTAGGTTTTACGTGCAATAATTGCCTCTCCCTAGCATCTGTTTGGAGAGAGGGAGAGAAACACCTGGGTCAGTGGACACGGTGTGCTGGAACAATTTCTGATGAAGAAACACAAAGGCTGCTAAAACGGATTTTTTGCATCATATTTTTGTGAAACTTTGTGTATCCGATTCTGATCACTCGCCCCACTGCCGACCATTACTCAGACTACAGTCTTTGTTTTTGTAACGTTTATATATCTTTTATAAGAAATATGAAGATAACGAACAGTATTCAATCTCAAAAGTCCAATGAAACAATACAAATTTGGAGCAGAGCAAACACGGACCTCAAAATTTAGAGGTGGGATCAGGTGCCGTGGAGGAGTGAGCATCTCCTGCCGACCGGTCACACCCGCCGTGCACTCCTTGTCATGACCGGAACACAAAACGTAAAAATCCGTAGACAGTTCAGTGTATAAATAATTATATATGATCCTAATTGTATTTCTAACGATGATTTATTTCTGAGATTGAATAGAATACCAAGCAATCTTTTTTTCTTGAAATGAAAAAAATAATTTAGATAAATTCCATTGTCCAAGCCATTAAAACTAATAATATTTTTTAATGTTGATTAAAGGTTATTTACAGATTGTATTTAGAAATAGTATAAGAAATTATTTTTTTCAGTAAGACAGAAATATATGTACAAATGCAATTAATTAATTTAATCTCTTTTGTAAAAGAAAATATGTTATATATGCTAAAGTGACATAATTATATATATAGGCCAAATTGGCCGGGTGTAATGTAAATTTGTTTCTTTTGTAATTACTATTGTATTTGTATATACACTATAATAAAATATTTACTTACTTACTAAAAAGAAATTTACGAATTAAGAGTGCCAAAGATATTGAAGAAAAAATTATTTTGTGGAGTACACATTTCCTTAAGTAAATGAGTGTTAAAATGATACACATATGAAATCGGCAAAATGCAATGAATGTTTTAGATCTTCAAATTTTATTCCCAAGAACATTTTTTCTTCGCTAGATCTTATTATACTACGGTAATCGACAAACATCACGCGAATCCGTTTTAAAAATTTCTACTAGGATACACATGAGTAACTGCTGTAATCTGAAGACAATATTGTACACGAAAATTAAATAAATGAATATATGTGCTTCTTTCTAAAAAAAAAAAAATAAATAAAAACAATATTCTCGCTCAGATTCATTTTGAAAAAAAAGTTACCCTCAAATTGGTCTTACTCATAAAATTGATGATATAAATCTACAAAAAGAAAAGAAAAACCAACAATATAAATGTCTGATGTCTTGGAGTACAAATAAAGGCCCTATTTGATCGAACATTGGGATCGACAAATATCGTTTTGATGTATTCCTTTCCTCAGAAAATCTCGCAGGCAGAAACTATATGATCTGTCCCATAAATTATTCACTCGCAGTAGAAAGCAAATAAGGCAAATGATGGTGGTCTTTAGCAGCCTAGCCAGCTCCTCTGAAGTGTCTGTCAATCAGAGTCCGCTCAATTATCGCTTGTCTCCAGGGCTCTCATTTAGTCCTATTGGAGTGTGTATGTCGTCACTCTTCGCTGTAAGCAGGTGGACAGACAAACACATTTCTTGCATTTTTATGACAATTTTTGCAATATCATTTACAGTTTATTCTAGAAATGGCACCATAAATATCACCTCTTGTATTGTATACAGTATCGCCTTGTTCATTATTGTGCAGATATATGTCAGTAACTGGCGTCAAGTCATAAAAGAACTTAAGTGAAAGGGAACTTCTTTTCTTTTCGTGAACAAATAAATCAATGAATCTATACTCCTTGAAAATAAAGAATAAATACATGATATCACTTAGTTAGATGTGTATATAAACAAACACTGCAAATCATACTGAATAGTCTAGTACTCGAAATACATTGATTAAAATCGTTTACATATTGACTAGTAGATAAAAAATTATTAACATAAGACTGAGTCCTACAACATAAATAATTTACAATTTAAATTAATTAACAATTAAAAATTTGACAATTATTTCACCCAAATATACTCATAATGGTGAAACACATCAGTCTTACATATTATCCAATATACCTTCATTTAAAATCTTAAGTTACTTAGTTAGTTTAAAATTCACATCATGTTTCTCTTTTTAACCATTATTTGATTGTTTTGCCTGGTGTTTTTAAAATGAAATTCTTCAGCCCTATCAATTTCTGATTCTGATTGTTGAACTTGAATATATATATATATATATATATATATATATATATATATATATATATATATATATATATATATATATATATATATATATATATATATATATATACAGAGAGAGAGAGAGAGAGAGAGAGAAAGAGAGAGAGAGAGATTTCAAGTTCAACAATCAGAATCAGAAATTGATAGGGCTGAAGAATTTCATTTTAAAAACACCAAGCAAAACAATCAAATAATGGTTAAAAAGAGAAACATGATGTGAATTTAAAACTAAACAAATTGTACCAAATGGAATTTGTATGAACGGATATTTAACATTGTCTTTGATCAGCATCTTTGGATAAGATTACAGTCGATTTTAAAATCTATTGTAAGACAATAAATTGACCAAATGTCAACTCCGATGGCTGAAGATACCTTCGTGAAATTAAATTCCCAAATTACTGGTCTATTAATGCACAGATATTGTTGGGTTTTCATATTGTCTGCCTTAAGTAATGCAGATATTTAATCATCGTGCTCCAGGACTAAACACGCAAAGTTCTTGAATGTTTTCATCAAGGGACAATAACTGTTATCGAGAATGAAAAGAATTAGGAAGATTGCTCTTTTTGGAGACGCAAATTGCCAAGGTATTATTCATCGAGTATACGACAAGATATTCCATACAGATTACTGCCAATATTCCGTGCCTCAAAAATACCTGCGTGCCAGAAATTAATTACCCTGATTTGTTCTAAACATCTTTATAGATTTGGGTCTTATTTTTATGTGGATTTGAGTCGAATGAATTATGGCAGTTTTTGTGATGTAAAATTTTACAGATAGTTTTGTATTTTCCTCCTTCAAGTGCATCACTCAGCCATATGGCATTAAAAGCTGATAACAGATCAGCTTGTTTTACATAACAAGTGTTCATGGCAATGTTTTTACTTTGATGTTTTACAAATTTTGACAGTGTTGATGTATCATTATTTGAAAATCTAACTATCTATTTTATAATAAGTTTTGAATAATTGTTAAAATAAATGCACAATAATTTTGGCAAAATGTTGACACTAAGAATTATATTCTGATTCAGTTTTAAATGTAAATAAATGTAAACTTTTGCTTATATATATATATATATATATATATATATATATATATATATATATATATATATATATATATATATATATACCCTCCTAGGCCCTTATCCGAAGCCAAAATGTGAAAAGATGATGAACTGTGACAAGCACTGCCTCACAAACCAACAGAAACAAACAACCAAGTATGATTTCCCAGACAAACGATTCATCGGAAGTCCTTGTCAACCACCATCATCTCCTAGCAGTTCTCTGAGTTCTAGTACTTCCGGTAAAGACAACAGTCAGTCACCGTTGACGTGTGAGAAGGAGCTCACGGCGCCCCATACATCGTATGCAATGACGGCTAATGCAAATTCCTGTAGCTACCCCTACACAAATCGGTAATGGTTTTACCCTGACATACGGAATATGCAAAGATAAATATTCCTTCTGTATAAGTCGAGTATTATCATACAAAGGAACTTGACAAACTGTTTTAATCAAACAAATTAAAATGACATTAATATCAGCTGTTTTATTCTTAAAACAGGTTTCTTGTTGGTTCAAAATTGTCTTTGTTTAGGTTCTTCCTACTTGCAGTTATATTTTGCACTTGTAGGTTAGTTCTGAATGTTTATCACATTTCTGAAAGATTGAAATTTTTTAAAAGACTTTTAATTGATTTTTTTTTCTGATAGATACTCCAAATTTCGGAGATCTCATTCAGAATCCGAACAGAACTTCCTGTCATCTGACAGTCACTCCGGTTACCCTCGGTTTGTTTCCTCGCCTTATGCACACCCATTTTTCAAACAAGACTTTCGAGAGCGACCGTACGACATGGGACAATTCCCTCGAAATCACAGCTACCAACAGACGACGACCGTCCCATCACATCACGTGACCATCAAACAGGAACCAAAAGACCAAGGTTTCGAAACGAACGGTACGTTAAGGAATTTTGATATTTACTTCAGTACTTCGTTGTATTTCGTTATTATGATAAAAAATACCTTTTTAGCTCAAGTGAAGGCTCCAATGAGCATTTCTGTTAGAAAATTTTCCGTTGTCTGTCGATATTGTTGTCGTTGTCGTCGTCTGTGTCGTTGCAAGCTTTTCTAATTTTCCTTTTCATCTCCATGCAGAACCAATGGGCCCATTTCAACCAAACTTCCCATGAAGATTCTTGGATAAAGGGGATCTAAGTACTTTAAAATGAAGGGCCACGTCCTCCTTCAATGGGAGATAATTAAGAATTATTGAAAATTTAATGACATCTTTGAAAAATCCTTTTTCTCAGGATATACTGGATCAGAAAAAAGGATACTTTTGTGAAAGCTCTTTTACAAAGTGTAGATTCAAGTTTGTTCAACTTATGACACCCGGGGGAAGGGTGGGGTTACAAAGGCGGTCAAATTTTTACATAGGAAAATGTTTAAATTTCCAACAACAAAAAAACTTTTACTACCAGAAGCAGTGTATTTTCATAGACATTTCTTCGTTTTCTTTGAGTATGTTTTCTTTATCATATTTTAAGAAAGGTCATTTGTGTAATTACACACAACTCTATACGTTTCTTAACATCAACGATTTTTTTAGGGAAAAAGATCTGGTTACAGACTCATATTTGGAAACGAGTAAATAAGGACATAAATCCTAGACATTTTTCAGATCTTTGAGTGATAAAAAAATGTGTGGTTGAAATCTGAATATAGAAATATAAATTTTGTATTCCAGTTTTGAAAATGTATGCTTTCCATGAAATATTCTGGGGAAAAGGTGACATTTCATATTTCACAATTAAGGATGTTTTGATCGAATTCAATTACCTTACCAAGAAATAACCGTTCAATGAAGTAACTGTCTGAGATGATTCTTATGTGTTTTTGGGCTTGTTTCTTCTTGCATCTGTTCAGCACACCTGAAAGTTTCTTCTTTTACGACTATCAATAGTACTGAGATTACCAGTGCCTTGTTAATGTCTTTATGAAATGAGGTAAAATAATCAACCATTGTTCCAGAAGAAGTATCATGAAATCTTTACAATTTTGTGACACCCCCCTTTTTGTTAATAACACATTGAACTGTAGCAGAATAGAAATATTTGTAGTCATCAAAAGACATTGATGTAAGTTTTCTTATACTTTTATTTATTTCACTTAATAATTTTCTGCTAATATGACAAAACAGAAAGGACAGCAATTGTGTACTTAATTTTTTCACAAAATAGTTATTTGATAAGGTTAATTATATATCAACAATTTACAATCAAGATGATCTGATTTGACTTTTTAGTGGAGCGATATCCAGCATGTAACGGCTTTACAAGGCCAGACATAAGACATGGCAGTCCTCAAGAAGGTACAGGAAGAGATTCATCAATTTGCACTTCTGAGAAAAAAGTATGAAAATATTTACTAAGCTTGGACTTTAGTAGTGTAAATGATATTTTATTTTTCAGTAGGGTTTCCCTGTCCATATCAGAATGCCATGAGGTTTTTCTGCCAAGAAGATTCCACTTACTTAGACCGCATCAGAGAAAAGCACAGAGAAAGATGGGAAGGTAGGAAAACTTCAAAGGGACTACTATAATAAATTCATACCTCAGTTATTGAAATATACTTTATATCTTGCATTTCCCCGGAGTGCCGGTAAATAATCATCAAATTTTAAAAATTTACTTCTGTCAATATGGAATTACAAGTAGCCAAGAGCAGAAGTGATTTAGTTATTCAAAGCACAAGCAGACAGTTGATCTTTGATTTCTCGGTCTAATTTAATTGTCGCTTATGTCCATGGGAACTCAATCAAGACGTCCCTTATATCACCTAAAAACTAATTCAATTCAATTACATTGCTAGATGCAGCCTTCTAAAGGGGATCAACAAGGCTATTTCTCGGTCTTAGGACTGATCCTACGCCTTATTTACTTGACCACTGTGATCTCATCAAGTTTTCTCCGAGAAAAGTCAGTTCGCAAATCCCGAATCAAGCTTTTATAATCAAAGCTTTCATTTGGTGATTAAATTAGTTCATTTGAACCTCAACAGTCAAAACAAACTTATTTTCGATGTAATACTTCTCATCTTGTTATGATGGAGAAAAAGAAATGTGCAATATGAAGAACAGAAAAAAACCGATTAAAAACCTTTCCAAAAAAGGTCAGCTCATTGCATTGTGCATCATAATCGTTCTGTAAATCAATGAAAGGGAAATGCATAATTCATTTTCTCGAAGAACTGGCTTAATGACGCTGTCACAGTCTTTGTGATACATTTGTCATGAACACAGTGTCGTTCAATGTTGTTCCATTCTCGGTTGCATTTTCCATCTTTTCACAATAATTAAGAAACACGATGTATTCGACAAGCTATATCAGTTTCTTTCCAAAAATCAGAGAAAATTGAGATTTGCTGAGGTAATGCTGATGCATAAAAAAACATATTCATAATATTATTATCTGAAATGCTGAAAAACTGAATACAGAATTTGAAACAGTATAAGAAAATTTACAACACGGCTTTCACAACTTTTACGTATCAAATTTGCAAACGTTTCTGTGAAAGTCACACACTTAGGGTTTATTCGACTTTAATATGCAGTTTACTGAAATAAAACGCATTAAAAAAATTGAAAGACTTGACAAGACAAAGAAAATTGTCATGATGTTCTCATGGTAGAGTGACAAGTTAGCTTTGTAAAGATAAAACAGGAAAAGTCAAACATATTTCCAAGGTACAGGTGGAAAGGTAACGCCACTTCACTAGCCTCTTCCTTTACTCCTCACCAAAATATTAACTGCAGTGAAGGAGAAACTTCAGGAGTACTGTACAGCAATATATTCAAAAAGTGGTGTTAATCAGATTTGGATATTAAAAAAAACTCCAAGGAACTTTTAGAAAATTTGAAATCACAAATTGTTACCAAAAACGTTAGCATCAAAACCTGAGACTTTTCAACACTTTATACAACTATTCCCCACGATAATTTAAAGACCAGGGCAACTGTTTTTTCAATAAAAATGGAATTCGTAAATTTACTTACCTTGTCAATGGTCATTTGTAAAATTATTTTGTTAAAAACATTCTGATATTGTGATTCTGCACACAAGTACTCTAAAGTTGATATTAAAAGGTGCTTCTGATTGACAATATCTATGTAGTTTTTGGAGACAAGTTGTTAAAATTCCCATTGGGTACTAACTGCGCTATGTTATTAGCAGACCTGTTTTTATATTCACATGAAGCACAATTTATTCAAAAACATCTTCATGAAAAAGAGTTTTTTCCTGTGGCCTTCAATTCGACATTTAGATATATCTACGACGTTTTATCAATTAACAATATTCATTTTCATTCCTAACTTTATTCGATTTATCCCTTGAACTCGAAATAAAAGACACCACAGAGTCTGACACATCTGTTTTATAATTTGGATATATTTTACTAGGGAAAGACATTAATGGCAAACTAAAAACTAAACTTTATGATAAACGTGATAGCTTCAACTTCCCTCATTTATTCAGCAATATACAATTATCACCTGTATATAGAGTATATGTCTCCCGGTTATTTCGATACGGAACAATTTCTAAAACGATACAAAAATAAGTTGATGATACAAGGCTATCGAGAGTTTCGTTTAAAGTCAACATGTCGCAAATTCTATGGTCGATACAATGACCTTGTTAGCAAATACAATCTATTGTTAGGTTGAAAATTGACTGACGTTTTTCATACAAAAACCATTATTTTCACACCTAATTGTCGACGGATTTTTTTCCGTTTTTTTCCCAATCATGACAAGGAGCACACGGCGGGTGTGACAGGTCGACAGGGGATGCTCTCTCCTCCATGGTACCTGATCCCACCCCTGATATTTTTAGAGGTCCGTGTTTGTTCTGATTTCAATTGGTATTGTTCTATTGGACTTTTGAGAATTACTGTTCGTTATCTTCATATTTCATTATTTTATGAAACTGACACTGATCGTTTCAAATTATTATTCAGGAAATTATTCTATATTTTTCTGGTAATACAACGCCTTAATAAACTCAAAGAACTATATAACTTTTAAAGAAAAATGTTAATGAAAGATATTTCCAGTTGAATCGGAACAGTGATATTAGTTGAAGGATTTAATAATCTTTAATTCAATTTGTGTGTATCTTTAAAAATTATAGTACAAATTGAGTTTCCCAGAAAATGTGCACTTACGATACTAGCTATGGGCTAGTATTTACAAAAATGCTGTTAAATTGTTTATATATATGTATATATATAGAGAGAGAGAGAGGCGAGGGTTGACCAGAAAAAGCGTGGACAAAGCATTTTTATTGAAAAATAAGGCGCGCCAAGCTTCGGGAAATGTTTATTTATTATTTGAGGACATCTTAAACATGTTAAATATGTTGATAAAATATGTATACACAAATATAGGGATTTTAGGGTGTTGATTATTTTTAACTCTAGACTCTCTCTTTCTCTCTATCTTTCTCTCATATATATATATATATATATATATAGAGAGAGAGAGAGAGAGAGAGAGAGAGAGAGAGAGAGAGGTAATTTGACTGGTCGTGGCTAAGGCCCTCTTTTTTGAGCAAAATGTAACGTTATTTAGCAGACTTTTGATATTTATGATTAAAGCTTAAAAGAAAATGGAAGAAAAAAAAAGAAAATGTTACGAATGATCGGTCTAGATTATTCAGTTTATTAAAGCTAGAGAAAAACGTTGCATATTACGAAAATTTTCTGAGTAGTATTATTGCATACGGCAAGATAGGATTAAAGATAAGTGACCGATTTTATTGGAGTTCGGTGTATATCAGATAGATAATTGAATTCAGTGTTCTCAACGAATATAATTAAAATCAGACTGATGAATTGACAAGGATGGAAATAAATAAAAAATCTTCAATAGTATTCCTAGAAACGAAGAACAGCAGACGACAGCCTGTTCTCCTTCCTGCTATTGTAAATATCGTATGTAATGAAAAAAGATCATTTCATTCAGCAAAAAAAAGGCTAATATAGGTACAACTAATACATATTTTAAACATAAAGTAACAATAAAAGCTAGTTTTTGATCAAGTTTAGCAAGCAGAGAATTAATTACATTTTCTGGGAAAGACATAAAACCCTTTCAAGCGCCAGTACTTGATTTGAAACGGGATTAATCATTATTCAAGTATATCATAAACTAGGTTTTTAATTTGCGATTTTTACCGTAATTGACGTTTTCAGCCACCCGATGTTGCTTGCAAAGTCTTGCTTCAGATATCACAATGGTTTAATAGTCGTGTTTAGAGGGTATAATTACCTTTTCTAAAGTTTCAAAGAAACCAATTAGCGTTATCAATGGCAAAGGGTACTCTTACAAGAAGTTTGTATCACATATAATCCAAAATTGGCCCATCTTGGGAGTGAATTAATCTGACAGAGTTTTCATTTTCGTTTGTATGTCTTCTAGTGATTGGTATTAGTGAGGGTTTTGTTATAAGATACTAGCTAATCGTACTGGGAGCTGGAGCTGGAAGACTTAGAATACGATACAAGGTGTCGTCTGTATGTGACGTAGATTTTCCATGAAAACAGACGATCGGTTCTTGTTCCAAGAGATAAATGGCAAGCCGCGAGAAAATGTAACTTAACACACAAAAATGAAATTTTTCCTTGTGTAACAAAATATTTTACTCATTAAAATGAATAAACTTACCACAGTATTTTATTTTTTTTTTCCATTTCTTATGAGAACAGGATATAGTAAATGTGTTACACAACACTAAGTCTTTCGAAAGCAGAAGTATGCCTCAAATTAAAACTCGTAACAAATAAGGTAATACATGTACTTGTCTTTATCAATCAGTCGTCAGTAACTACAGAGGGACTGATCAGAGTGCCAAATTTCTAGCTATAGGGTATTTGTCCGCCTCTCTGTCAGTCTATATCTTTGTGTTTTTTTCATTGGAACTACCGATCGATGTCGATATTCATTTTTTTTGTTCAAATATACATGTATATGTAAAGGATATTCTATATTTTGTACCTTGGAAATGGCATTTATTTCACGAGCGAGACAGGATTTCTTTCATATTTGCACGAGTTCCATATACAACTATAAAATGTTGAATTTTTTTGTTTATTACATTTTCTTTGATATCTCATTTTGTAACACAATGTCGTTGGCTATGAAGTCATAGTTGAACGGTTTATGAGACAGATATTGACAAGAATTTGAAGACGTTTGGCACTTTTAGTCTGTGTCAGGACCTTATTTACTATCGCTATTTTATAACAGGGAATGTTTGCTTTATAACACTCATCGTGAAAGGAATGAAATTATCGAGTTTTGCCGCACTTTGACATTTTTCACTTTAAAAGATATCACCTTCAAAAATATAACTTTTTTCAAGGATAAATTACAGTATTTCACTGTTGAAAATGTAATAAACTAGAATATTCCACTCTTTAACAGATTTTATCCACAATCAATCATTCAATATAAAGTTGAGATAAGACATATATTTTCCTGTTTATTCTTATTTGGACTGAGGACAACTTTGTTATGATTAAAATTATAATTCCTTAACAACATATCCCGTAAACTGTTACAAAGTGCCACTCACCCTCTCTAGATCACATTTCTGAATCTGAAACTTTGTTTGAAAATTCTTCTTTTGCTCAAGGCAGCTTAAATGATAACGACTTAAATTTTGTCGACAAAGTTCATGATTACAAACAATATACCGGAAGTAGTAATGAGGAACCAAAGTTGCATTAAATAGCAACAAAAACAAGAGTTTATTTAAAGAAGATGATACAACAAAGAGCAATGAAAGACTTGTTTTTTCATTTGTGAATATATGTATAGTGACAAACATATTTGTTTTGGAATGTTTATGGAAAACATTTGTTTTGTAAACATTTTTAATTTTGTTAATTTGTAGGTATGGATATAAAGGCAGAGTTATACAGGGACTTCTACTTTGACCGATTTCACAGAGAGGGTCAGCCCCCCACCTACCAGAGGAGAGGGTCACTACAGCTCTGGCAGTTTTTAGTCGCCCTCTTGGACGACCCCGCCAATTCTGCTTTCATCGCTTGGACTGGACGGGGGCTTGAATTCAAGCTTATAGAACCAGAAGAGGTAAATATAATATTATTTTGATTTCTGAGATTTTTACATGTATGTTCTGTTACAAACAAATGTACACTTGCCTAGTTCGTTTTCAGTTTGAATGTTTAACATTTCAAAATATGAAATATTTAATGATTCTGTCTTTTAAAAATGATTAAATAATATGTACTGGTATTTCAAAATGACATTTTGCAGGTTGCAAGACGTTGGGGGTTACAAAAAAACAGACCCGCTATGAATTATGATAAATTAAGCAGATCACTGCGCTATTACTATGAAAAAGGAATAATGCAGAAGGTAGCAGGAGAAAGATACGTGTACAAATTCGTTTGTGACCCAGAGGCACTCTTTACTATGGCTTTTCCTGATAATCATAGACCAATACTGAAAACAGACTGTTATTCAGAAGAGTTTTACCGAGGTTCAAACCAACCAATGGACAACCAAACAATGACATTTGAACAAACAAATGCTAATCACATGTCAAGTCATATGACCGGTCACATGACACCTAGTCCGTTTACGTCAAATCATCCCGTGCCAATGCACGGTCTTAATATGATTTCTTCACCTACATCACCAACTTCTAATATGCAGAGTATGGAGCAGCACCGCCTACAATACATGCACGGCATGCAAAGAATGTATAATACAGGACCTTATCTGGAAAACTGTGTGTACTAACAACGAACCAACTACATACATCCATTCAACAATTGGCCTATACACACTTATTCCAGTTATAAGGACTCTTTAGTAGATACGCTCCGTCATCAGTGTATTTGCGATTTACAATGTTCTTTACACAGTTCTTTAAAACACGAGGAATAATTGTTAATATATGTATTTGTTAATTTTTATTGTATTTTAAATAATTCTTTTTTAAGTGTCAGTTATTATTAAAATAATTGACACTAAATATTCAGTGGACTACTTGATGATATTTGTAATTATCCAAATCTATTATTCTGTGATACATATAAAAATAAATAAAATTTAAATGTCATTTTGGGAGGAGTGTTACTGATGTGAATGACCCGAGTATGACAAGATTTGCAGTATAAATATTGCTTTTTAAAATATAGAATTATATTTTTGATGGAATACTTCTATTCTTGGTATATCAACTATTTCAATATTTTGTAAATTTTATGTCCATCTTTAGTAAAGAAAAGGATATTTCTCTGCTTCCAAGGCCTAAAGTTTATTATTAAATTTTCTAATTGTATGTCATATCTGTCCAGAATTCATATGTCTTTTTTGGTTTCTGTATTTTCTCTTCCTCAATCTCAACAAAGTGATGATCCTCGCTTACTCCGTCTCTGTGATGGATTTGGTTACTTCTATATGTACTGTGATCATCAGAAGAGTAATTAGTCCACCCCCTGTCTGAGTTGTGCACTTCTGCAGTTATCGTCCCTTGTCTAGAGAAGTATGGTGGAGGTGGGCTGAACTGATTTGCGGGAGCTGGTGCTTTCGTTTCAAAATCTCTATTTGGTTTTGGATGTGGAGACACTCTATATATTGGTGACGTGACATCAACTGAAGAAGATTGATACATGAAGAAAAATATTGAGGTTAACATTTGAAATCTAGGGCACTATTTGAACAATAACATGCTTTCTTTGTTACACTATATGAGGCATAAAGGTTGCAATATTACAAAAAAGGTACACAACCGTGTATTTTTTTCTGCAGTGATTTCAACCTTTATTAAACCCAGAAAATACTATCATTTTATTGTTAATATTTATACTGTCTTTAAATTATCTAAATAAGTATGTGTAATAATGTATCATCGATCTGTAGTCACATTGACTGAAGAGCCATGAAAACATTACTTTTAACAATTCACTAAATTTTGGAGATTTCAGCTCTGTTTTATTGTTTCAATGGTTTTTCATGAGAAATAAAAGGAATATTCAGTAGATGTTACCTTATACAGAGGATATATAATCTACTATATAATATTTCAGTCAAAATTGACATGTACATTTTGAATTTGAAAGTAAACGAAATGCTTTACTTAGTACTATAAAAGATATGTCGTCTGCACGATTCATTTCCACAAAGACAGAGAGAAACTGGTGTACATTTTGTTTGTTTTTGTGTGATAGGTGACATACTTCTCTCCTCCACAGGGGAGCGTACTCTTGGAGGCGGTACTTCCGGTTTTGGAGCGGGTTTTTCTTTCACAGGTTTAGGCTTTGGGGGAGGTTCCTTAGGCTTCGGTCTTTCTGCAGGTAGTTCTCTCGGTTTAGGCAACACCACCTGAACAGGTTTAGGTCGCCATACTTTCTTCCTTTTACTATAATAATGAGAACACAAAGCTATATGTCGTATGTTAAAGTATGCACATAACTAGCAGCCTAATAAAACAGAGGTTTTTTCAGCAATACTAATGACAGTATGTTTTCATATAAAATGAAAATAGCACAAGAAAAAATTGCTGAGAGACATGAATTTTTTTCAACAGTTATAAGTATACACGTAAATATTGTAGTACACTTGTAAATATTGCAGCACTGTTATAAATATTGGATCTCTGATATAAATATTTGCTGTACTGTTTTTGTTTGGACACGTTCTTACCAGCAATCACACCTTGGTTTTCTGCATTTGCAATCCACAGAGCATAAATAGCAAGAAAAGCCTAAAAAAGTCACAAAGAAAAAGCTTCCGACCATAGCTGGGACAAACCACGCCATATCGGTGGATTTCTCCAAGAAGGAATAAGGACGGTCTGTAGAATACGGAGAATCCGTGGTGAAATATTTTGGAATGGTTATTACTACCGGAACTGACGTCGAGCGGCTCGCCAGATCTGTTGCTGTTAGTGTTAGTGTTATCGTCGCTGCAGTATTATAGAGGCCACTGAGGTCTTTAATGTATATGCTTCCATTTTGTAGTACGTCAAAACGTGTGCTAGGCGATAGAGAATAGGAGTATTTGCCGTGATTGTGTGAAGAAAGATCTTGATCAACAGCTTGTATCGTTTGCACTATTTTCCCAACAATTTCATACGACTGAACGGTAAAGGCGTAACTGGAATAGGGAAATGAAGGAGAGAAATCGTTGTTGTGACGAATATGAAGTGTTACGTCACAAGTATCGCTCAGCCCCGCAGTGTCAGTGACTATCACGGTACAGTTTACCTCTTCCGGTGAGGTACCATCATCAAGTGTATAATCACCTTTAAAGCTGATCGTTCCAGTACCTGATGCAATTGAAAACCGATAGGTATCATTGCCACAGTCTAAAGAATACGTTTTTGTATCACCACTGCCACTGTCTGGGTCCAAAACGTTATACCTCGGTGTAGGAAAGGCACTACCATCCTTAGAAATTAAATCAATTCACATGTCACTGATAACAGTGTTCATAAACGTATTTTATTGAATAGATTTAGCTTCAAGTTCTTGTTTTTTAATTTTATTATCAATTTTCGTTATAACAAAACAAACAGTGTGTATACATAATTATAAGCGACTATTTACAATATGGATTTGCAGAAAAAAATAGACTAATTACAACAACATCAACAATACACCACGACATACAGCAAAATATCACGTGACCTACCGATCCTTCTGTCCTTGAGGTGGAGTAGTGAGACTGGGAGAACACCGGAGCCTCGTTCACATTCTGAATCTGAATGGACAAGTGTTCTGTGTCATACCATTTGCCGTCTGTCACTGTGATGTATATTAGGAATGAGGGAGGGTTGGGGAGAATATCGTAGTCTATGTTATTACTGCTGGAGGTATAGACTATACCAGCTGAAAGGTCAAAGAAACTATTCAGAAGCACCCTTACTAATTTATTACCAATCTATAATCTGTAACATCCTGTAATAATTATGGATTCCATTTTTGCGCTTTAATAGCGGTAAATCGGGAGGGAACTGTACTATGCTAAAGGATCACTCCTATATAAATAGGGATCTGAGCTATAGGACCGGGCTTGGTTTTTTTCTCTACAACAAGTTTGTCGATTTCCGTTACGATTAATGACATTAGGCTGAATACATGTAACAATTTGTTTTTCATAAATCTTTGTTTCAGTGAGTAGAGGTAGGAGGAACACTTTCATTGAATTCTGAGTTTGTTATCTCCAAATGTAATAATTGATATTTTTCTTTACTTCTCATTGCACATAATGGTAATGTCTACTGTCTCTGGAACTCTGTTTTTTATGTCTACGCTATTTATTTTACAACACATTTCAGTTGGATATAATAAAAACATGCAATTAATGTGTGCAAATCATATGGGCCTAAATGAAATCCAAGGGAGTACAGTTACTGATATATGTAGCCCTACTGTTTCAAAACTTAAGATCTTAAAATATTGACTGAAAACAAAAGTACACGTATGTTATTCTAAATATATTAAGCTCAAATAATTCAAGCAATACGTAACATACATGTACTACATGTAACCCAGACAAGCACTAGTAGCACAGACAGAATAAAAGCAATGTGATTAAATTCTAAGGAATATATACAATTGAAATTCATCGCAGCTCAATGCTGCCGAGAATACCTGTATCGAGTAACACAGAGTGAGTTATTCTTGTCCTCGGAGAAAGTGTGCTATACTGAGACTTGTTCCGCCTGACTGACAACTGTATATTGGACTGTTACGATTTGATCTCTCTCTAGTGTTTCTTATATCAAAAATGGGAATGCATAAAGGATAGATAATTGAAGAAACACACACAAGCCTATAAAAAAAATTAAAATAGTCTTTGAAAAGGCAAAAATTTAAAACTATAAAAGTGTGGCAACAGGTGGATTCGAACCCCCACTTTAAAAATAAAGTACCCACGATATAAAAGTCAGCGCAGCGCATACTCAGTATATCAAATGAGCTAATCTGACTACAAGATTGAACGGTATAAATTTGAAGCAGATTGTCAAAATCAAGTTTACTTATTCTTTGTAGGTTTTTTGTGAATTTCGACCCTAGGGCAGGGGTGCCCCTAAAAAAATTCCTATCTTAAATTATTCCTTACATCCCAACCTATCAAAATATCACAATTTTATTCAGGGGCAGGCCTGCCCTGAAGGACTTCTTGGCCAAAATTTATGCAAAAATCAACGCTTTAACGGACAAAATGGTGTTTCGGCCAACTTTGGAGATTTATTGTGAAGTTGTAAATAATAAATTTTAGTTGTAAAACTCAAATTTGAAAAATTTAGACATATATACGGTAGAAAACAACAAATAAAGATTGATTTTTAAGGAGATTCGATCCTGAGCTTTTGAGCAGATTTTGGTCTGGACCTTTATTTTTAAAATTCTGCATCATTTTTAAGTTCTAACATTAAATCTGGATTTTACAATGCAAATTAAACTATATTCAATGAAAAAACCGCGATTAAATTCCATTCAAATAGGATTAAGTTAGGGACTATATTTTGTGGCGGAAGGTTTTGTAGAAGAAAATGATCAATTTTTTCCCTTTTGAAATATATACAGTACTGTTAAGTTTAGATTCCAATTTTTCCATGCTGGTTGCAAACAGAGCTGATTTTTGCTGTGAAATGTTTTATTCTGGTTCTGAAATATCTATCAAACTATTTCTTTTGAATTCTTTCATTATATTGTGACAAATATAGTAAATATATTCTGAAAGTCCAGGAAAAAATTAAGCCAATTTTAACATAGAATTAACACATTTTTAGTAATATCTAAAAATTTACATCATAGACCGCCACTTTTGTTTTTCTTTTCTTAATATATAAGATAACTTTGATCAATCTGCTTAAAGTCAGCAAAAGTTTAAGACTTTAAAATATTTTTCTTGCTTGTTAAAAATTTTAATGCCAGAAAAATCACATTTTGTGAGTGCAGAAAGGTCAAATAATTGATTATGCTGAGCAATTTTGAAACTTTTACTTAGTCACAATTTTAATGTGTCTTATTTTAAATAGACTAATAGTTTATTTTGCCCCATGATTTATTTGGATACTAACATTGGGGGAAAAACGTGCGAAGATGTGATTTTTGATTAAGACACAAATTTCAGTGCAAAAAGGTCATATTAAATGTACTGTAGCGCCAAAAGAAGCATATTGACACCCATTTTTTGTTTTGATTTTTAATTAAGCTATGTGTGTAGAAACTAAAAATATACTTGACAAAAAAAGTTTAAGACTTTAAATATCAGGATCCAACCTCGTTAAATGTCACTTTTTCCGGGAAATTGTTCTCTCCTATAGGTCAATTCTTTTGTAATAGTGAATACATCCTTTATATATCATAAACATTGTACCTAACAGAAGTTATCAAATCAGAAGAACTTATCTTTTCTCTTATAGAATTAATTAATTATCAACAGAAATTAATTATTTATCATTAAATACAATTAACTATCAAAGCTCTTAAAATTCCGGAATCTGAACTCAAAATACTTTAATTTTGCAGTATCCTTGCCGCTGTCAGATAAGTCGGACTAAAAAATAGTCGGACTATTATAAAGGGGGGCCATAACAAGGCTGAATTACATACGTTATATTACAAATAATTATAATGAGTAACAACAGTAAGAGAGAAACAGAAAATTTCTATTTCATGAAATAAACAGAAATCTTCATTTCATAATAAGTTAACAGTATATTGAAAAAACATAAAGTATAAAGATGAATATGACACCCTTCACGCGCAAACCGTGGGGGTGGGGGTTCTAATTAACGAATTTACTGAATTATGAACAGAACGAACAAAGAAAATATGACGAACGGTGATCGATCTCGTAAAAAAAAAATACAAATAATGTATGCCTGTGAAAAGGGCATAAAAAGCGGACTCTTGAAAATTCCAGAGGTAGGATCAGGTGCCTAGGAGGAGAAAGCATCCCCGCCGTGAGCCCTTTATATTGATCAGGTAGATGGCATAATCTGTAGTCAAATCAAGTATAAAAACAATGACCTCATAATTGGTATGAAATATGTCTGTCAATTAAGATAGGTTGCAATTTCTAATAAGATTATAAAGACCATAGAATTTATGATATGCTGACTTAAAACGAGGTTGAAATCTCTGTAACATCAATTTTTAATCAGTATACTGCCTCGGTTTAAAAACTGATCATACTCGGAGCATGCTCTTGAGTATCAGATAAGTCTGGAGACATGAACACCATATGCAGGTGAAAGTTGAACATTACTACATGAATGTTTTTGATTCACCAATGAATTTAAGCTTTCTTAATAAAAAATAAATCATTTTATAATGGATTCTAGCGAGGGAGGTATTGCCCACTAAACTAAATCAGACTTAGAAATATTTTGAATTTAAAATAAATTCTACCCAAATGCATTTCTTTTAAGGCAGAGGTGGAGGGGGGGATTTTCTTCTTATGGATAATCCGCTCCGTAAGGGGTGTGTAATGGAACGGAAACCCTTTGGTAAAGAAGATTTTCAGTGTTTGCGAGAAAAATTTTTAATTTGAGGGAATAAGTTCATCTTTATCACCTGATTACAATGTACATATTACCCCTCGTAATTAAACTTTTTTTCCTCCTTTAAATGCTTAAAATGTTCAGCTCCATTGATTTTGATTTCATTTTGTCAATTGATTCACATCTCCTTGCGTGCACTGGTTAATGTCTACTATTTGTAAAAAAATTATTTGAAAAAAAATCTTCCTTACTTGAACTGTCTACTCTGAAATACTTGTCAGCCCAATCCTTATTAAAGGATGCTCGAAACACCTTGGGATCGGACGAATCTGTGTCGGTTGCAGAAGCTTGGAAAACCGAAGTTCCCAGGGCCGAGTTCTCCAAAACGTTGACGGACGTAGGAAGGTTTGATAAAACAGGGTCATCATTTATATCTGCAAATGATTTAAAAATGTTTTGTGCTTTGTAATCATGCAATACTCCTCTTCGAGAATATAGTATTCCTTTTTGGATTATCAAATGTTAAAAAAAAATCAAAGTCCTTTTTGACTTACTAGATATTGTTACATCAATGGTTCTTGGCCCAACTGTATTTCGTCCGTCTGAGATTGTGACGTCAACATTATAACCTGCTCTGGAGTGTCGAAGCAGACGATCAGTTAAAACTACTTTTCCAGCTACAATTACAATAATCCTTTATGTGTAAAAAGTGCCTCTGTTGTCAATGAAACGCTTTGGAAATTCCTGTTTTGTCAAACTTTTGACCTTAAATCTATGTACTAAGTAGCTATTTTCTTAAAGATTTCTTAACCTTATTTTATTTTTTTTGAAAACAGAATACCATGTTTTTGCATGCACTGTTATTCAAAAGAGATATGAAAACGTTTTCTTATATATTTGTATTTTATTTTAAAATTGTCTTACAGTTTAAGATATCAAATGGACATCCAGTGGGTGTACATGAAATAGAGTACGTCACTTGTGGACTGTCTGCGTCTGTTGTACTCACAGTGAATATGACGTCACTCGTTTTAGCCGTTAGTGCATCAAGGGAAACAATCCCTGAAAAAAGATCAATACAAGTGAGTAAACAAAATGAGTATGAGCAAATGAGTAAAACCATGCATTCTGTGATCTAAATACGCACTAACTCTACTCGGTTCATATGAATTTTTTTTAAATGACTGCCTGAAGAAGCTACAGCAAGTCCATACTTAGATTCTTCAACTGCAGAATGCAATTGTGATTATGGATGTTGCCTAGCACAGGCTTTTAAAGCCTCCATGTATATCGGAAGATAATTCTGACTCAACCTGTCGTTTCCTTAAACTTAAATTTGCCAACAAATGAATAGATGCTGTGAACAATACTAACATTCTTAATCATAAAACATGCTGTATTTCCTGCATTTTCTACAGATATTCCCAAACTTTTGCTTCCATTTTTTTTCCAAATATAAGCAAACCGTACAGTGCCTAGATATTGAACATCTAAAACAAAATCCCTTTATGTGTTTCCTTCAACTACTGTCCCGCTGGATGCGCCAATTGCTTTTGATGCCATTATAGCTAAAAGGGTCTAAATGCAGGGAAACCCGATCTTTTAATTGGCGACAGAACTTCATTTCTTTTATAAATTCTGTCGAAGATTATGCCAAACGTTGGGCTAAACATGAAAAGGAAGATCTGGACACTTTGTCAGAATGGATTAAATGTTTAAAAATATAGAATCATATAAGAAATTTAAAAAGCAATGTGCGAACCATCTATCCTTCCGTTTACACTAAATTGGAGGTAAAAAAAGAATTAGAAAGACTAGAAAGACTGTTCCAGCAGACAAGACTTGTAACAACATCGTCTTTGTTTGTAAGGAATGCAATATGGAGATAACGAACAGTATTCAAACTCATCAGTCCAATCAAACTATACAAATCAGAAGCAGAGCAAACAAGGACCTCTAAAACGTTAGAGGTGGGATCAGGTGCCATGGAGGAATGAGCGTCTCCTGCCAACCGGTCTCACCCGCCGTGTGCTCCTTGTCCTGATCGGGCAAACGGAAAAATCCGTAGACAATTCAGTGTGTAAATAATGGTCTAACAATTGGTATGAAAAACTTTAGTCAGCATTCGAATTAATGAGAGATTATACTTACTGAAAAGGTCATTGTATCGAGCATACGAGTGTTGATTTCTTTGATTCGTCAACTTGTTTGTCAATAGCCTACCGTGATTTAGAAATTGTTCGTACGTCGAGGATACTCTTGCCTATCGAATCAACTGAGAGAACATAAACCCCAAAAGGGTATATCGCTACACAAGTAAGGGAACTAAGTTGACGATAGAAAAATTGAAGTCATCACGTTTATCATAACGTTTTGTTGTTAGATTACCATTTACGCCTTTCTCTAGTAAAATATCAAAATATGAAACAGACGTGATATCTTTTATTTCAAGTTCACTGGAATATATCGAGTCGACACATGAATGAAAGTAACTATTGTTAATTGATACTAAGTCGTAGATATATATCTCAATGTCGAGTTAAAGGCAACAGCAAGTGTTTTCTTCTTCCCTCGTTTAAGTTGTTGAATGCATTCTGCTTCATATGAATACTAAAATAGGTCTGCTAATAATGAGGCGCAATTGGTACCCATGGGGATTCTGACAGATTGTTGGAACACCTGATCTCCAAAAACTACATAGATATTGTCGATTAGAAACTCAAGCATCTTTTTCATATAAACCTCTGAGTACCTGTGTGTACAATCAGAGTGTTTTTTAACAAAATAAGGCTCATTATTATAACTGTATTTTAGAAGAACTTGGTTTTACTAATTCTACCTTTGCAAATACAACTTATACTCACAGTTCACTTTCTAAGAAAGAAATTCTTCAAAATCACATTTCATTGTTTAATGCTTTTAATATTCTAGTCAACCAAGGTGAAGTCGATCTACCCTTCCTAAACCGGATTCCTAAACTTCATAAAATTTCTTACAAACAGATATACATTGCTGGGTCCAGCAAATGCTCTACCAAGCCTCTATCTTTTCTTCTTACAAAAATATGAACTGCTGTAAAGGAAAAACTTCAGACGTACTGTGCTACAACATATTCTAGAAATTGTATAATTTACATGTTAATTCTAAAGTAAAAGTAAACTTTTACAAAAATAAAACACGTCAAATTTTTCAAAAGTCAGTTACATCACAACGTACAAATTTTCTTCACTTTATACAACCATTCCCTTAGATAAATTAAAAAAAATAGCTTTTTGATATCACAGACAACTACTTCTTCAATAAAAAGGGAAGTCGGAAAGTTTCGTTTCTTATGTTTGGTCATCAATAAAATTACTTTGTTAAAAATCACTCTGATTCTACACACTGAAGTTGAACTCTGAACTTGATTTTAAATGAATGTTGGAGTTCCTCATTCAAAACATTTACATCGTTTGCGGTGACCAGGTCTTCCAACAAACTGTTCGAATTTTGATGGGCAATAATTTTGCTCCTTTATTACCCGACCTGTTTTTATATTCCTATGAAGCTGAATTTATTCAAAAACTTCTATATGAGAAGAAGGAAACACTTGCTGAGGCCTTCAACTCGACATTTAAATATATCGACGACGTATTATCAATTAACATTAGTTACCTCTATTCATATGCCGACTCAATATATCCCATTGAACTTGAAAAAAAAGAAACTACATGTACTGCCATATCTGTTTCATATTTGGATGATTTACTAATTATAGACTTTAAGGGACAACTAACAACTAAAATGTATGACAGACGAGATAACCAGCTTTTCTATCATCAACTTTCCTTATTTATGTAGTACGATCAGTGTTTAAACCGAGGTAGGCTTCTGACAGATAACTGGGATGTCAACAACTTCGTTTAAAGTCAGCATTTCGTAAATTCTCTCGTCGTTAATATGATCTTGTTATCAAATATTACTTGTTATTGGGTCGTATTTTGTCTGACGTGGCTCATTCCAATTGCGAGGCCTTTGTTTTCATACTGAATATGACGACGGAATGTTCCGTCTACCTGATCAATACATACGGCTCATGTCGGGTGTGACCGGTCAACAGGGGGATGCTTACTCCTCCTAGGCACCTGACCCCTCCTGGAATTTCCAGGGGTCCGTGTTTTATATTGTATTATTTATTTATTTTTTTTTTGAGATAGATCACTGTTAGCAATTGTGGTAAAAGGTGAGATTAAAATTATTCACAATTGTTGCCAATTGTAAAGTTACAATTACTAATAGGAACATTCAGTTTTCTTTATGGTAGGATTAAAATTATTCACAATATGTTTTGTCAGGGTTGGGGGTTAAAATTATTCACAACTCGTGTTTTCTTACAAAATATATAATTATTTACAGTTATTGTCGTAACGATGGATTGAAATATACTCGCAGAGTTGTCATTGGTGCATTCAAATTAATACAGTCAGTGTTGTCATTGGTGGGTTTAAAATGAAAAAAATGTTGTCATTGGTCGGATTAAATCAAAACAGTAAATGTTGTCAATGCGTGGATTGGTGTTAGCATTGCATGGTGCTTTTAAATTAAAACAGTAAGTGGTGTCAGTGGTGGGTTTAAATTAAAACAGTGTTGTCTTTGTAGGGTTTAAATTAAAAGTTTTGTCCTTGGTGTGTTTAAATGAAAACAGTAAGTGTTGTCATATGAGAGTTTTGATTAAAAGTTAGTGTTATCGTTGGTGGATTTAAATTTTAAAAAAAATAATGTTGTCATGGATGGGTTTTAAATTAAAACAATCAGTGTTGTCATTGGTTTATTTACATTAAAACAGTTAGTGTTGTCATGGAAGGGTTTGAATTAAAACAGTTAGTGTTGTTGTAACGTATTTTCATTAAATCCTGGGATCGTACCTGGTCAATTCCAGCATTTGGGATGTTCAACAATAACTGACTGGAACTAACTGGTATGATATTCTAGTGGACTGCCGAAATATGCAAACAAGTCCAAATCTTATCTAGGTAAAATATAACAGTTTTTTTTCTCACTATAATAATCAGAAGCAAGCAACGATAAATTGGTGGTTTTAACACCAGAGCCCTGTCGCCCTCGAATTACCTCATATACTGTAGGGTGCCTTATTCAGAACGGACAATTAGTATAGCAGCCTGGACGACGATCTGTTCCGTCAATGCAAATAACTTTGGCTAGCCTCTATGCTTGAGGTCAGCATCTCTTCGAGGTAGGCCTTATACAGTTTAACTTATGGTAAACCTCTTATTGCCTCCCAAATTCTCCCTCTCTAATTAGATTGGATGAGGAATGGTTATCATAATATTAACTTTGTTCACTGTCTTAAGTTGTCTTTTTCTCCTCTCGGCTGATTCATAACAATATCAATATTTAAACACAACTGATGTCACATGATGTAAACAGTGACTAACTGAGAACTCGGCATGATTGTTCCGTAATTAAAATTTCGGAATCGTTCTATTGTCATTGGTGGTTTTAAATTATCAATAGATAATGATGTCAACGGTGAAAAAAAATCAGTTATTTTTTGTCAATTGTATAGTAAAATTTACTAATATTTAGTGTTATTAATGATGGGTTTTAAATCCTCACAAATAGTCCAATGTTTTCAATGATTCAAAGTTATTGTTGTCAATGGTCGCCGATGCTGGAGTTGAAATAACTCACGGCTAGTGTTGTCAATGCGCAGATGAATTTACTTATGTTCAGTGTTTTCATAAGTATGGTATAACTGTTTCACAGTAAGTGTTGTCAATGACTTTTTTCTGTTCAGTTATTTTCGTCAATGGTTTGGTTTTTACTTTGCACAGTTATTGTTGTCAATGTTTTGGTAATTCAAGTACTTTATGTTTAGTTGTTGTTGTCAATGATTTGGTAATTACGATGATTAGTTATGTAGTAGTGTGTGAGTTGATTTATTTTAACAGATTATAAAATAAATTTTATTTAAAACATTTATCATTTACAGTAACAGCTTTCCATAAATTTATTCTCATTCTATTTAAATATGTCAGAAATGGATTTCCATATCAGTTCTGGTCAGTTTTTCATGGATCATTGAATTCTTGTTTTGGTTGGCTGAAAGTTTAAGTCATGTGATTTTTATCTTGAAGTTTCTATTAATATTATTATTTTTCAAATTGAGTCTGGAATGATCAGTTTGGTCATTCAGTTCTTGTGATATATTGATCTTGGACTTTATTTATCCATAGAAGGTCAGTTGATTTTAATATTATAAATACATTCATTTGATGAATAGTAAAAGTGAATGTGTGAATCATTTTTTTTATAAATTAATAAGTAAAGAGTATATTATGATATTTGTTATTATTCAGATCCACTTGATATGATGTACATGTAGCTGAATTGCTGTATATATAACAAGGGTCTGATACCATATATTGGGTAAGATATGTGATGTATATGTTTGTATCATGTTAGGTGTAATGTGAATCTGTATATTATGTATTTACATTCCATTGTTATGTGAATCATAACGGGAAACGTATCTATTTCATTAATAGTAGTGACTTACATTTGAATATCTGCTGTCGTATTTTATTCACTGAAGTTTATAAGAATTACAATATACAAAGAAAGTAAATCATATACAGTTAATTATAGTTTTTGTAGGAATAATCTCAATATTAAACTAAAGTGAGAATTAGTTTTTATGCCAGAAATATTTATTGAATAGTGAGTATTAAGAAACAAGAAGAGTTATCTCTCTTTGTGTATTTTATATGTGGGTGTGTTATTGTGTGTTAAATAATGTCTGTGTTTATTTCAGACTGTTTAATATTGAATATTGGATATATAAAGGATTGAAACACCAACAATATTTGTTACTTTGTGAACCCGGTAACAGTTATTGTTGTCAATGATTTGGTAATTACGATGTTTAGTTATTGTTGTCAATGATTTGTAATTACGATGTTTAGTTATTGTTGTCAGTGGTTTGGTAATTACTATGTACAGTTATTGTTATAATTACGATGTTCAGTTATGTGATGTCAATTGTTTATTTTGTACAGGAATTGTTCCCAATAATGAGATTAAATTCTCAGTTTACTATTGGTAGGATTCAAATTACTCTCTGTTAGTGTTATCATGTTAAAATTTATTCACAGTTAGTTTTGACAGTGGCGGTGATAGAATAGCTCTTGGTATGTGTTGTCAATGGTGGGTTAAATTTATTCATTGTTATAGTGTTGTCAATGTTGGGGTTTAAATTACTCACAATGTTGTCAAGGTGGAATCAGAATTACTCACAGTTGGTGTTGTCAATGTTGGGGTTTAAATTACTCACAATGTTGTCAAGGTGGAATTAGAATTACTCACAGTTGGTGTTGTCAATGTTGGGGTTTAAATTACTCACAATGTTGTCAAGGTGGAATTAGAATTACTCACAGTTGGTGTTGTCAATGTTGGGGTTTAAATTACTCACAATGTTGTCAAGGTGGAATTACAATTACTCACAGTTGGTGTTGTCAATGTTGGGGTTTAAATTACTCACAATGTTGTCAAGGTGGAATTAGAATTACTCACAGTTGGTGTTGTCAATGTTGGGGTTTAAATTACTCACAATGTTGTCAAGGTGGAATTAGAATTACTCACAGTTGGTGTTGTCAATGTTGGGGTTTAAATTACTAACAATGTCGTCAATGTGGAATTAGAATTACTCACAGTCGGTGTTGTCAATGTTGGGGTTTAAATTACTCACAATGTTGTCAAGTTGGAATTACAATTACTTACAGTTGGTGTTGTCAATGGTAGGATTGTTGTTTTTGTTGACGGTCACCGTGTATGTTCCGCTGGCCGTCGCCAATCCGTCCTCACACTGAATACTAAGGCTGTAACTAGAACGTGTGTTATAGTTCAGCTGGGGCCAGTCTATCAAGTACACGCCATACGCTGGAAAAAGCGAAGTAACTCTAACACACTTTACCTATCACATTTTTTTTTTTAAAAATTCTCCATCTTATATTTAGTATTTTTAATTCGTTCATGGCTTTTTTAATCTTAAAAAATAATACAGTTTGATCGCCTCATTTTATAAAAAGTGTTTAATCACATTTAAAGATTTAAAAAATAAATAAATAAATGAATAAAGCCTCAGAATTCAGAAACAGCTTTGTAAAAGAAGTATTACTTGGATTTGCCGTGTTGACTTGTTTTACGATGAATGGTACACTGGAAGTAGTTAGCGTGCACGTGTACCCATCGTTCGGTTCCGTGACGGTTAAATCTAGCAACTTCCGTTCGGAGGTTTCCTCTTCGTCTACTGACCCCGTGCTCGGCAGATTATCAATCGTCAATGCCTAATACGGCAAATAAATAAATAACGAAAACGAATATTGGATAAGATTTACAAAAGATCTTACATTGCTGTACTCAAAATGATTTTTTTTTTGGAAATGTAGGCAAAGCATAGTCCATGTGACTTGTGCCTATTTAAATATACATGCATGAATGAAAAATGTGGAAAATAATAGCTAAGGGATCATTACACAAATTATTGTTTGTCAAAGGACGTTTCTTATTTATATGAACCTTTATTATAAAAAATGAGTATAAAGATTAAAGAATAAGCAATTCATTTAATATCAGTGATTTTTTTTAAAAAAATAAATAATAATTGAATTCTTTTCAATCTTCCGTGTCGAGGGGACGTACCGTGTTCGGGACTGTCAAAGTTACGGTTCCTGTCTGTGTTAGACGGCAATCGTCGTACACTTTGACCTTCATGACGTAAGCAGCCTGGTCAGGTATGTCGGCTTGTGTAGTTACGATTTGTTCTAAAACAACAGACACTTTCATTAATATCTAAAAATTCGAATTCTTGAAAAAAAAAAAATTGTCTCTATCTTCATTTTTTTTTAACTCAATAGAGGTTGAGGCCACATTTCTACATTTACATGTAATTCACCAGATCCTTTCTCAAACATATTTTTAAAAAGAAAAATAATTTATTTACTGTTTGTAACATCGAGACTAAAGAAAGAGTTGTCCGTGGAGACGAGCTCCATGGTCAGTGTGTCCTGGGAGTCAGAGTCCGTCACAGTGAACACGTACACCGCAGCACCGGAAGTCGTGGATTCCGGAACAGTCACGGTAGTGGAAGTCCCGAAAGAAAACTGTGGAGTGTTTCCTGCATTAGAATTAAAGATTACATCAGCAATAGCAATTAAAAATTGAGGTGTATGCACCAAGTTGGTTTTATAAATTTATTTTCATCCAATATGGGCTACTGACTTCAGAATCAGAAATCAAATTGAGTAGTGAGTAGTCTTGAATGCGTTGCTTCGCTACTATATCAATTCCATTTAGCCTGAAATCGAAACATAATCGCTTGCAACCCGGCAATAGCCATGTTTTGGGATAAAGTTACAGACAGGCCCGTAGGAAGCAATTTCAGTTTGGGAGGGGGAGCAAAGCCATATATTTTTATTTGAGGGGGGCACTATCAACTTCCAAAAATTCTTTGACAAGCCAAAAAAATGGTCATCAGACTTTTTATTGATGGGGCACAAGCATATAGTATCTATGTTTTTCTATAGTACTCTATATACTGGCAAAATTATTGAAAGGGGCACGGCCCCGTGCCCCCCCCCCCCCACCCGGTTCCTACGGCCATGATAGAGGACTGTTTCGAAAAAAAAGGTTGAATGATATAATTACTCTTAGTGTTTAAATGTTTGTAATTTAATTAAGAACAGTAATGACATAGTCTGTTATTTCAAGGTTCTAGTAAATACGAGAACATTTCAATCGCGAAATAATCAATTCTAGTGGACTTCTTACTGAGAAGTTCATACGTTTGGTAAACTGTGGGTTAACATTACTCCAGTATAGTTTCCTTACCTCGTTTGACGATGGCGTACTGAAGATTATTTCCGGTTGACATAACTCCAGTTTAGTATACCTACCTTTTTGACGATGGCTCGATCTGATGGCGTATTGACGGTTACTTTCGGTGGTTTGGAGTTAATATTATTCCAGTCTAGTATACACCTTTATCGTTTGACAATGGCCCTTATGTCATACTGACGGTTACTTCCGGTAGACTGGGGCTGACCTTCCTCCAGTCTGCTTTACTTACCTCGTTTGACGATGGCTCTGATGGCGTATTGGCGGTTACTTCCGGTAGACTGGGGGTTGACATTACTCCAGTCTACAATGTCCCCCGTATTCTTGTCCCCCAGGCTGGTTTTACGTCTGTTGAGAATCGGGTAACTACTTAATATGTTGTATGAGACCATTTCTGTCGTGCTGGTATACCTAGAATAGATTTGAACAGATGAAACAATATTCTATCAAATACTATAAGAATATCAAAGGTGATAAAATTTTGCCACAAACTGATGATGGCGATCAAAAAAAATATTCTTAAATCTTTTTTGAAGCGTTTAATGTATATGGATCCTTGATAGTAAAATTAACCGAACATGGTCTGCTGTAAATTCTTATAAACAACAATAACAACACTAACAGGGTATGTTTTATGCAAGTATTAATTTTACCGTAAAATTACGTTTTTTAAAGACAGCTTTTACCATTCATTTGTTTCATTTGGGATCTAATGATATACTCAGTTTGTTTTTGCATACCATCCTATATAGTCCCCTGGTTTAACACTGATGGTATCAGCTGGTGGCACTGTATAGAGATATTCTCTAACGGCTGAAAAATAAAGCAAAACTGTTGCATCATGTTTTTAATCTAATTTTAATTTGATATAAAATGCAATGACGCAAAGCAAGTGTTATGTTCTTTGTCAATTCACGACTTAGGTACAGGACAAAGAATCATATGTGACCATTTCCTGAAATTGTGGGTTTACCAGGAAAAAGTGAATATAAAATTTGTAACAATGGAACTAGCATTATCTTCGAGGAACATGCCTTATCCGAAAATTCATAAGACGTCTCAAACAAAACTAAGAATGTAGTTTATATGAAGATTCAATTATTTCAAAACGTTAATCATTACTGTCGACAAATATAACATCACTTTTATATAAGTGTATCAAAGCCTCAATCCTTAGGATATTTTAAACCCTGAAAAACCAAAGGTAATAATTATATTGCTTCATTTATTTAATGGAAACACCGTAGAACTTGCCTGAAATGACTAAACTCATGACTTTCAATGCAGCAATCTGACTTACATCCGGGATTTATCCTATTTTTGCCTACTAGCGTGTATTGATTGGCTGAAGTCTTCCTCCAGATCTGGCAGTCCAGATTTCCGGTTCTTTTAGCGTAAAACTCCCATTTGTTTACAATACCACAACAACCGACTTGATAATCCGGGTCCTCTACCAAGTACCCCACATCTTCAAAATAAACCAAGGTTTTATAAGTCTTAGAACGTTAGGTACATTAATGAACTTCGAGACTGATTCCACGTGAGATCGTATACATGTTGCAAATATCTTACTTGATTGCGATCCTACATAGTCCTTAAAAGAATTGGGATCCGACTCACCAACTGTCGTACCAGAAGACCCACATGCTGAAATAGAACAACAATTCATTTCGTTATGTTAATTTAAAAATCTGGATATTATTATTAGGGGTGCGTTACACGGTCACCCAAAGAAAGTATAAAAATCTAATATAGAATTACTCAATAACCACCATTTCTATGGACAAAATACACACTAAAGACAACGGTCTCTGGTCCTAAGTAGACACTGTAACATAAGTGAATAAAATCAAGGCAGATGTTCATATTGAAGTTCAAAAGCATTCAAATGTATTTTTTAAAAATTCAATTATAATAGATGTCCATAATTTTGCACATATAAGTTTTCATGTTTTTTTTTTCCCACGTTAACGTCTTGGTAAATGAACGTGAAAAAACACCGTTACAGTATGTTAGAGTACATGTAACACTTAAGTTTTAAAGGGTTGACTAATAAAATGCTTTACCTCCTTAATCACAAGAGAGATAAAAATGGCAACATTGCAGAAAAATATCGAGGATGCGTAAATGGGTGAGGTAATTTCTCCCTCCCCTTTTTTGCAATAATTGCAATTAAGCGTTCTACTCCGTATAACAAAACAAAGAATTTTTTCGTTTATGTTCAGATTTCGTTTAAATTATATATATAAACTGATGAAAATTAGAAGTAGATTGTATTTATGCTTCAAATAAAAGCAATATGGTTTTTACAAGATATATACAAGAAAATATGCAGTGAACCTACGTTTAATTATTATGGAATAAAAACATATTAACTAAACACCTCCCAAACATTTTCCATTAAAAACGACCCAATGAATTCTGTTTTCTGTGGTATTTGTATTATATTATATAGATTGGATTTGATTTAAACCCACTGTCATGGGGCTCATTTATATGAACATAAAATTAATTTGAACATATTTTGTTGTATAAATACCTTACAAAACATACAAGTTTTTACAACATACCAAGTTGCCACCTTAATTAAATAAATACAACTGTCAATTTCATAAAGTTAAATTTCAATAAATAAATATTGATAAACAAATTTGTTTTAATTTATACATACATTTTATACATTACATTGCTTAAAACTTAAAGTATATATGTATATCTTATTAGAGTTCTTGTAGTAGGCAAGTAAACCTACTTACGTCTCTAAGATATTTTTACACGTATTTAAAAAAAAAAACAAATTTAAATTAATTGATATCAACAGTTTGTGTTTTTTTTTTTTTTTAAAAGTTAAGGTAGTCCGATCCTCAGGTTCTGAAAATCAGCAGTTAAGTAATTGAACATGATTAAGAAAAATTCATTAAGTAATACATAGAGGACATTCAATGTTTTGTGGTTGGATATGGAATTTATTTCAAGAGTGGAACATGATTTTTTATATATATATTTTTTCACGAGTGCGAAGCATGAGTGAAAATATTTTTTTAAAAATCCTGTCTCACAGTGAAATAAATTCCATATCCAACCACAAAACATTGTATTTTCTGTTTATTACATTTTCTTAACAAGTATCATAGGCTGTGACGTCATAATTGAGCAGTTAAGTTGCCAGATTGAAAATATTGTAACATGGATTTTAGCAAAGTATTTGGGAAGAAATTGGCAATTTTAGTCTCTGTCAAAACGGTTTAGTTACTATATCTATCTTATGACAGACCCAAAATTAATTTTTTATTACTTTGATATCCTTTCAAACTGTGAGAGAATATCACTTTGGTATCCTTTCACTCTGTGAGAGAATATCATTTTTATTCAATAAATTACAGTATTTCCCTGTTGAAAATGTAATAAATGTATTTAACCTTGGTATTAATTCAAGTTCATCATTATAGTTAATCATTTTATATAGGGAAAATTATCAAATCTCAAATACATTTTCAGGAAAAGCGAATGAAAGCACCAACTATGCATTTTCTAATTGCAAACTGATCATTAAATCCATTTTAGAATTAAAAAAAACTATAGGTATCCAGGCATTCGGAGAAAATTGCATACTCTTTATACTTATACGACATTTCAGTTCTTTTATTTACTTCAATAACGCATAGTGTAAAAAGCTTGCGCTATAACTGTAAGACATCACAGATCACTTCTAATTTCATATCATGCTAATAAGCATAGTGGTATCTAAAGCTAGATTAAAGGAAATTTGATTTCTCTTAAAATGTCTTTATTTTGTACTCTTACGGGATACAAATGTCAATTTTTTTTACAATTCAGTCTCTGTATAAGACAGAGTTGAGAAAAAAATCTCTAATCTAATCATCAAACCATGAATTGCGCTTTACAATAAAAAAAATTTTTGGTTTGTATATTAAATCAACCAAAAAAAAAAAATGATTGTTCGGGAAAATATATTTTGTTTATGTTTACAATAATTAAAAATACCATACAATTCACTACAGTAATTATATGGAAAAAAAATAAAATGATAATACTTAGTCACTGGTAATCTCAACATTTTCAAATGCACGTTCTTGCTTGTTCTTATATTAATCGCCATATTATTGATAAATGGCCAGATTTCTACTGGTTTTATTACAGTCTGCGTTAAAATATTCGCAATTTAAACATCAAAATGTCCGTGAAAAAAAAACTCAACACCTACTTGCTGAAAATGTAGATCTTAAGAGGGTCAGCAATATGAGAAGAATAATACCCCCGGTCGATTCATCCATAGAACACAGATATCTTATTATATCCTTAAGTTATATCTAATAATATCCTTAAGTTATATCAAAATATATCTCTGCCATTATGAATTCCCTTTTCAGTCAATCTTCAGTCGATTGCCAGTTTAACAGAGGGTTGATTTCATTTCTGACAGAATCATGCTTCGCTTCGGTTAGGTGATTACGATCATTATCTTTTGTTTTCTAATTAAATATTCCTTTTAGTTTAACATACACCTGTCAAAACCTTCCCAGAGTATTTAATTTTTTTCTTTGGGGCTCAGAGAGCGATAGCTGGTTCCTTTCTTCTCATGTGAATGTGCTTCATGTTTCTGTATTCTCTCTATTAGTATTGTTCTAACTTTCTGACAATGTATATCGGAATTGATTGTATGGTTGTTATTTAATTATTCTGATCATGATTATTAAAAAAGATATCAAAATAGTCCAACTGATTGCCTTATATATTTATTTTAAAATTCCCCTCTGAATATAAGATAACAAACGGAAACATATTACAGAAATAAAACAAACTAACTTCGTTACAATTACATAATAATAAATATTCTATTATTTCCCCTAAAAATATAAATACTTTCTTCTCATTAAAAACAATTTAATTATAGATACAGAATAAATTTCACTTAGTTTTTAATTTCAATTCCTTATCCTACATCTGAGTAACACTTTAAAAAAAACCTCTCTTAAATATTCCCAATATTACCTTAGATATATATGAAATATTTACGATAAATAAGGCGCCTATTAACATCAAGTATATGTACTCCTTAAGCAGGGCTATTTACCCAATCTATAATCCCCCAAACTCAAAAATTCATTCTACATACTTGCATTGTCTAGAGCTAAAGTAATAATGATAACTTTGAAATAATTTATGTGATTTTTTTAATGATTTTTTTTTTTAAAGTTGAATGATATGTCTAATTTTTATCAATATCCTAAAAAGTTAATGAACAATTAATTAATAATTAATTAAACTTTTCATTCCATCAAGGGAATAGATTGAAAGTTTTTTTTTTTTTTTTTTTTTTTGTTTTTTAGTCACGTGTGAAATGTTTTCAGGATTTTAAAGTTTTGCTTTTGTTTGTTCTTTGTTGTTGTTTTTCACAAATAGTTTATTTAATTTGCTAACATTTTATAAAACTTAACTTGACCAGTCAGATATTAACTCAACAATCCCATCTGTGATTTAAGTCCGTTTAATTTCTGCACGATTCGAACAGATTATCAAGGATTAATTTTTATTCCTGAATACTAAAATAAAACTGAAATATTAAAAGAACATGCATTACAATACACGCCATTTAGGATTAACTGTTGGTGAATGTCGTTCTAACTGTAGGGAAGTGTTCACAGCGAGGGTTTATTCACACTAAAAGGTAGGAGATAAATTTAAAACTTCTCTAAGAGCAATTATAAATTTGTACTGCAATGCTTTGTTTAGAAATGCAATTTTCAAAGAACTCAATAAACAGTATGTTAAGCAAAATGGACAGAAAAGTAGACAATTGACAATTAATTGTGTTAAAATAAGAGATGTAAAATTAACTGATCCGGAACCAGAATCCCTGACAAGTACATGTATGTCATCAACTTCAAAATTTAAAGAGCTCATCGGTTAGTGTATCATAACAAGAGGCCCATGAGCCACAACGCTCACCCGAGTCATCTTGGCCTATATATATTTCAGAAGAATTTAAAAAAAAAAAGAATTCCAGTGAGGCTGCGCCTCAGTTGACAATGGTTTTCCTGGGATGAAAATTTTCAACGCCACCCTCAACTACATGCAGTATTTATATAATACCGAATGTTTTGTAAATATACACATAATAGCGAACAGTGCATGCATAAATTCTGCGCAGTCAACATTTTTTGAAATATCACCCGTCCTCAAACAATGTAGACTGTTGCTACGCTAGAGGGCGTGGTTTCATCAATCAAAGGTTAGTTATATTTTTAACAGACTCAAGTTATTTACAAGAAAATATAAAATAAACAAATATTTATTCATTTAAGGAATAACTGTCTAATTTTTTGGATTCATGATGTGATCAATCTAGTGGTTTGCGTGATAATTTGCATAAACGAAGGCGTTTATGCATAAAATTATCACGCAAGCCAATCGATTGATCATCGTCATGAATCCAAAAAATCTGACAGTTATTCCTTATATATACATGCTCCTGATTCTGCAAATTCCCTTGCTAATAGCCCCGCTTCTGTCTCTATTTGTCCCGCCCCGCACGTGATTTTTTTTTAACCGCGCCTATCGATGAACCAGTAGATTTATGTAGAAATAAAGTATTTTTACAATTTGTAATTTTATCTCGGACAAAGACATTGGAAATGTAAATATTTA